AAAAAATTAAGGAGGATGCATGAACTGAAATGATGAACAGGAAGAGCATAGCAGCTTTGGAGATTACAAAAATATAAATGTACATCTCTTATTTCACAACTTCCTTTGGGGATTTAACTTCCACGCCAGAAATTGACACTTGTCAAGAACTGGCACGTATCCCTTTTCCTCTCTCTCTTTTTGCTTTTTCTAATCCATCCTGTAAAATATAAATATCTTTGCTGAATAGTGATAAGCACACGTCTCTAAGAAACTCACTCTCTCTTATATAAAAAAAAAAAGTACTATTCATACACAACATACACACAAACATCATGGACATATAAAAAAAAAAAGAAATAAATAGAAATAAATATCCCTAAATGGTCAAAAACACGCAGAATAAATATGGCATACCGGCAACTTGGCCAGCAAGATGATAAAAGAGATGATGCTCCCCTAAGACACTGATCAGATTGCACCCCTCTTACGTCTCGAAATACTGTCATGTACTATGTAGTTTTGGGGGAGAAGAGGGCTGAGGGGTCGGGGTTCTCCTGGTAGGACAAAAATTGGAGTAAAAAAAACAAAAAGCCACCTGATATTTCTGAAATGAATGACCGATTTCTTCTGCACTGAGCATGTTTGTCAGAGGGACAGTGTACTGATTTTCAGGTGGGTAAATACAGCAGCTATGGACCTTGGAGATGAGGGATGCAAGGAGACGCAAACTGCAATGGCATTCACTCGAACCAGGGCGACAGGATTTTTCAGGAACCATTACCTGGTGTTACCTATTCCTTGGTTCAGTATATATTCATTGCTTATCTGACCTGAGCTTACAGGCTAGAAAACTGACAGAAAAAGGTCAATGATAACAACCCTCACATTTGTCATATTAAATAAAGGTAGCAGGTTAGCATACCTATTATGTAAGGGGAGACATTAAACATATGTAAGAACAACATCCAACCTATATCTATGCAATGTAGCTTGCTGCATACCCATTTCAAACTTACGGATACAATTCCTTCCAAATAGTAAGGTAAAATATTACCATCAGATCGTGAGCAAATGAATTAAAAAAAACAAAAAAACAAAACATCCTAAACACATCTAATACTTGGCTAATACTACATAAAAAGGGAAGTAGAGATGCAAGCTACTTCAACTAATAATTCTCTGTACTGGTATATGTGGCACTCAAAAGATTACATATATGAAGTCATATGAATGAACCGTGAAATGTTGGAATCATTTAACATCTGCAATGTAAGGACCTACACTGAAAAAATGGGAATATATATATAAAAACAAGCTTTTCCTCTACCTCATCTGGAATCGGTGACATGACAAGCCCTGAGATGCTACAAAAAATGATGAAAAATGCTTACTTTTACATAACAAAAAAAATAATACCCCTTTTCAGGAGTTCTAAAGTGAATGAGACAATGGAAAGCAGGTATTAAAATGGTGATTAAAGTGGTGAGGCGAACAGATTCTCTTTTACCTATTTCATTCGCATTACTTGCTTTGAATCTTTTTCTTTTACAATATTTTCCAAATGATAAATAACAAAAATATGTTTTGCTAAGCAGGAAAACAAATTCAGCAATAACAAACTATATCAGGAAAGATTTTATGTATACAAAATATTTATATAAATATTATATAAATACTTTATCCATACACATACATATATACACAAACATAACTACACTACTCCTTGTCAGCATTAAAAATGGTTTAAGTGAAAATAAAGTGGAAAGGCCTTTTCTCTACTTCTCATTTTGCCATGACAGTATCTGGCTGGTAATGAGAAAAAAAAACATTGTCCAAAAGCTTACGGCGGTGGATCTACTAGTACATTAAATCATGGGAAAAGAAATTTTCCTTTCCCATTTCAGCCATGCTTCATTCCACTTTTCCATGGTACTGTTTGGGTATTGTTAAAACTTGTGTACTTGTGTTTGTGTGCCCTGGTGTGAGTGGGAGAATGCGAGAAAAAGACAAAAGGGAGTAAATTTGGGAAAGGAATAGGAGAAAGATAAAGAAAAGAGGGGCAATAAGATGGAGAAAGAGAAAAGCAGGGCAATGGGATAGGAGAAAGAGACAGGGAATGGGATAGGAGAAGAGAGAGGGAAAAAGAGAAAGGATAGAAATTGTGTGTACCCATGTGTGTATGTATATGTGAGTCCATGAGCAAATGTAACCATGTGCATTTATGAGTGTTTAAAGATAGGTAGGTACAAACATATATACATAGGCTCAATCTGAAAAAAAGAAAAGAAAAGAAAAAAAAAAAAAAATCACCAGAAAAATACAACTTTGCAACAAATGTAAAATGGCATTACTTCTCCTTTATCACATAATGACACTTCTTACGACAAAATAGGGAAGTATAACCATCTTATCACAAAAAAATAAAACAAGCTATTTTATCCCAAGAGTTTCAACACTTTCTCTAATGCCACTTCAATTCTTTCCATACGATTCAAACTACAACTTACGGTCTTTGAAAACTAACAAATGGCTCTCTCTTTCAGCAAAAAAGGGAAGATTAAGTAACTTAAATGATATGAATAAATAACCTAAAACATATGCATCACACCACACAACAAATGTGTCCAAACAACATTATACGGTGCACTTTCTGTTACATGGAATGACTGCAAAACTGGATGCCACTGTATTTTGTCACTAGAATCACAATATGAATGAACAGCTGATATCCAGTTAACAAAATGCGGAGCAAGAACTTGAGATTTATACCCACTTGTGTTATTTCTTTGATGTCTGCAGGTTTAATTCGGGTATACTGCCTCTTAGACGTATTTTCAAACATCAGATGATTCACGCTGCTTGAAGCTTGGCACAGGTTTATGGTTTGCTAAATGGAAAATTATTGTTCACAAAAAAAATCACCCTGTATTTCTCTTTTTTTCAGTTGAATTCTTAGGTGAATGTACATACTTGGTACTATTCAAAAGATTAGCTGTATGCACTTGCTTCTTCTATTGTAGGATTTGATTTTTTCCCTTTTCCTTTTTTTTTTTACAATGCCATTCAACAACAATACTTATCTTTATAATTATGACACACTGTAGGCCTACATCTCAAAAACATATACCTTTCCATATATCAAATATTGTTCTGTAGTCTAACCACTGCATTTTCCATCAAAGGAAAACAATATCAAGTATTGTGCATGTTTTCAAAATAAGCCAGCACCTGACTATCGCACTATAACACCGGAAATATGACTTTCACATAACCCAGACCTTCAGTGCCAAGTATACCCTATCACAAAGACGAACAAAATATTGAAGTCTGTGCAAAAGGTCACATCACATAGTCCTAATTTTCACGTTGCTGTATTTTCTATCATAAAGAGTCCTCCATCGGCTGATGCGGTGGAATCAGTTTATACGAGAGGCAAGTAACAAAGAGGGATAATGCCCTGGAATCTACAGATGCCTGCTTTGCCTGCCAGCCTCGTCTATCGCACCTATCGCACAAATATATACTTTACAAAAAATGTTGTAATTTTGAAGTCCTCGGGTTTGTCAAAATTTGAAATAAATTAGAAAAAAAATCTAGATCTTTTGACTGAAAAAAGTAGTAATACAGAATATCCACCAAAAACTATAGGCATATGAGAAACGACATCATCAAAAACCTTTACACACCTCCCCTCATCAAAGTGTGATACATTTTTTTCTTTTAAATTGGTTGTAATACTCACAACATGCTATAAATATAAGTGAAAAAAAGGAGAAAAAAAGGAAAAAGAAGAGAGAGAGAAGAAGAAGAAGAAGAAGAAAGAAAAAAAAAAAGACAAACCCACAACATGAGCAACGACATTTCCCAGCAACAGAAACTTATCACGGATGAGCACACAAAACCTCTTTCGTAATGGATATTTCACCACCGCAGAGAATGACTTGTGTCAAAAAAACGGCACAGTGTCTTAGACATTCGAAGTCGGGGCAGCTTTCAGGAGCTCTGGCTTGGGGGGGTCCTTTCTGCGGAACGTCACCCACGAGTACACTATACTACCTGCAATGCTGTAGAGAGATGGGAGAGGAAAGGACATATAAGATATTTGTAAAGTTTTGCTACATGTGGATTAAAAAAAAAAAAAAAAAAAAAAAAAAAAAAAAATCTGATGATAGAAATACTTTCAAAATTAAAATTACAAACTTTCAAAGGAACAATAAAGTAAGCACTGCTTGCCTGATGATAACACCTGCATGTAATGTACAGTAAAACAAAGGCATATAAAAATATTTTACACATATGTATATCATATTTCTTAGAATACTGTTATTAGTCTGTAAATAGAGAATAAAACTGGTTAGCTGCAAAATCAAAAATCAAAAAAATCACAAACAATGCCAATCAAATAATCTCACCAATAAAACCTAAATGAAAATTCCTGACATAAACACTTTACAAACACAATACTCCCTTCAGATTATGCAACCCAAAAATGGCGTATCAACTGTACAACATGAGACAAGAAACAATCATCAAATAAAATTGTTCCATAATTTTGAGTGTAAAAACCACTGATTTCTGCAGCAACCAACCAACAACAAAGATCTTTATAATATAAGTAAAACAAATGGACAAGGATCCTAAATAAACACAAATAAACAGTACGGATAAAGATATTAATATCAGGAAGATAAAATTAAGGCAAAAGATAAATCATCTGAATTAACTATAATCATTAAACACACAGACAAAATAAGATTAATGGCAAATTTCTTTATCACTCATAGCAGTTATCAAATCATGATTTATATACAAAAAAAAAGTAATATCAATCAAAGAATCAAGAATAAAAGAAGGGAGACAGACACACGGACCTGATAAACGAATACAATACGAGGTGTACGTGCAAAATTTACCACACAAGCCGAAACATACACAGCTTTGGGCCATAACTTGCCTTGCACAGAACTAACAACTTATTCCTTAATAAAAGCCTCATACAGTCAATCTGCAACATGCAA